ATTAAATAAAACAGAAAAGGGAATAGAAAGAAAAATAAATTTAAATTAAAGTAAACTAAAAGAAACAAAGCAAAGAAACTAAAATTAAAATCAGACAAAAGAAAACGGCAAAATATAAAACTAAAGGAAGAAAGGAAAATGAAAAGAAGAAGTAATGTAAGGGAAAGGAGGAGAAGTGCAACGGAGAGAAGGTAATCGGTATCGGAGGAAGAGAAAGAGAAGGGAAGCAAGAGAGAGGCTGGTAAAAGACCGGAAAATAAGAGAAGCGATAGTAGTGGAAGGAAGGATAGAAGGGAGAAAAATAAAGAAATTTTAAAGAAGGAAAAACGTGGGATGATCGAAAATAAATTAAATGTGAAATCGCAGAGTGATTGGAGAAGAACAAACTTCGTGGTCGGTTGCAGCCAAAAAATTAAGGGTTCGGCGAAAATGGTAGTCCTACTCACCTGTTCCGCAGCATTTTCTTGTTCAGCTTCGAAGGCCTCATTCAGTTCGCTGCGTATTTTTTCAATTTCCTTTAATCTTTCATCGGATAAAGCAGTGGTCTTTGCAGCAGAGGTAAGAAATTGTTGCTGCGAACATAAATAAAATACAAATATTTTAATTTGATACCCTTCTTAAAATCAACACAAAAATTTCGACTTAAAAATGCTGCAAGCTCACCTCACTAAATAAGGTTAGAGTGAGTAAATGTACAATTACGATTACTCGTATGCGCGTAGGATTACTATGTGACATTTTCCAAAAAATTCATTTACACAATATCGAAATGTTAGACAGAACACTTAACACTACAAAACATGCTTCTTTTCTTTATTTTTAAACTAAAATTTGTTTTAGTATTTTAGATATTTGATTTCGCAAACTGAAAACCACGCTTACATAGAAATGGAAACACACTGCAAATACGCCAACAATAAATATAACGTCGACCAATATCATATGGTACATAGTACGGGCATTGTAATAACTGTTCATATCAAGACACATGTCGTGTAGACTTTCGTATTAAAATATTTGTTGTGATATGTTTTCAACTGCTAAATGTGGACTGATTGGTTGGTAAAAGAGGAAGGGAGTAACGAGCACAGAGATGGGAGAGCTTATCAAGCATGGAAGTGAAAAAGTCTACTTAAAATCATTGTTACAAAATGATGAAAAAATTAATTTTTTGTTTAATTAATCTTATGTTCTTCTTAAAGAAAACTTAACTTAAGTTAGGTTACTTTAATTTAATAAAATTTAATACGTGTAATCTAATTGAATTTAATTTAAATTATTTTGATTTAATTTGAATTATTTTAATTTATTTTGATGTATTTTAATTAAATTTAAGAATAATTTTTAATTTTAATTTTAACTCAATTCAATTTCATTTTTAAATAATTTAATTTAATTCAATTAATTTGAATTTTATTTTTCTTCGTGTTTTTGGTTTGGCTGTATTTGATTTCATTTGCTTATCTTACTTAATTTATTTTTATATATTATTGAATTTAATTTGATTTGATTTAATTTATTTTAATTTTAATTTAATTTTATAAATTTTCATTTAATTTTTTTTTATTTTTTTTTTGGATTTTGCCTTTATTTAGTTTTATTTCCATATCTCTTTAATTTATTTTAATTTATTCTTTAGTTTCGTTGGATTTTATTTATTTAATTTTATTTAAATTTAAGGTGGTTGAATTTATTTTTAGTTTATTTACAGCTTGGTTTAATTTAATTTAGTTTTCAGTTTAGTCGAATCAAATTTAGTTCAATTTAGTTTAATCAATTTTTATTTGATTTCGTTAAATTTAATTTGTTTATCTTATTTAATTGACATTATTTTGTTCTTAGGCCTTTCATTTTATTCTAATTTGGTTTTTATTTTATTTTGTTTAAAATTAATTAAGTTTTATTTAATTTTACTTTTGTTCTATTTTTTTAAACTTGGTTTTAGTGTACTTCTTTTTACATAAACTTTTTATTTATCTGGTTTATATACATATCTTATTTTTCTTTTATTTTACTAGTTTAGTTTTATTGGAAACTATTATTATTATAAGTTTTTTTAATTTAGGTAGCAGGGTACGAAAATAAACTCTATTGTACGTTACTATTTCGTTTCGTTTATTACTTCAACAGTTCGGTACAATACGAAATCAAAACGGCTGAGTTCACTTTGGCGATAGTACACTACAGTAGTTTAGTAGTTACAGACGAAACAACAAACGAAATGAATCGTGCAGAGAAAAATAAATGTATGTATGTACACATATCCAATAACTAAACACAAAACAAATAGCTGCAATGAATAAAAAAATAAAAATGTTTTTTAATTGAATTGGATATGAAAATTTACAGAAAAAAATATTTTTCACGCAATTGAAACGTTTGTGATATCACCCTATGGCACAATTGTNAGGTAGTATTTAATTTCTATTGATTTTGAATTTTATTTGACTTGGTTTTTTTTTTTATTTTATTACGTACATTTTTTAATTCATTTAATTTAATTTTATTTAACTTTTATTTAATTTAATTCTTTTACATTTAATGTTTACATATATAACTTTGGTTTTCATTTTATTCTTTATTTAATTATAGTCAATTGTCTAATCTATTTTTATTCAATGTTTATTTAATGTTTCATTTTTATTTTTATTTTATTTTTTCATACAATTTTTATTCCTGTTTAATGTTTTAAAATTTAATTCAATTCAAGTTTTTATTTCACTTCATTTATATTTTGTTTTAATTTATTCTATTCTATTTTATTTTACCTTATTTTATTTTATTTTATTCTGCACCAGCAACATTATGCTATTAACGCAACTAAGATAAGATTCGCCGACAATATACTTAACAGCATTTTATTAACAGCGCTTCACGCCAGATAATAACAAACCGTTAATTTAACAGAGTTTCACAGTAATATAAATTGGCTCCACAGCCAGCAGTTAAATAAATTCTCCCTTATAACTGCACACTTTGGAGCACACCTCATTTCGCTCTCGCTTCGTATGCAACATTCAACTGCCTAGTGCCCTCTTTTGCTCTTCCTCTCCCTTGTTTATCTCGTTTGCCGGTCTCACTAACGCCACAACAGGGCCCCACACTGCAATAAAAACCCAACAATGTGTGCGCGGTTAATGTGCCCATATGGCTGGCTTTTCCAATTGGTACTTCTCCACTTTTATTTCGATTGCTCGTGTGTGTTTTGTATTGTTCGTAATGTTGTTGTTCTAAAACAATTGCAGCTGGCTGTTCTATCTAGTGTTTAGTTAACTTCTGGGCTGCCTTTGGCGGTGGTTGATTTGTCGTCTGCTCACACGTTTATTTGTTTGACAAACTAACATTTTAACTGCTTGGATGTTGTTGTTATTGTTTAAGTATTTTTATCATTGCTTTGCTGCCTATCCTGTTAAATTGCTTGTGTGGTGGCGGCTGAGTTGTCACACGGTCAGGCTGACTGCCTGCTGGTTGTGTTTATTATTTTAGGTAATATGCTCCTATTGTTGTTGGTTGGAACTGTTTGTACTCATTTGTCTTATTCGGCATTTCGTTTTGCCAGGGCACGACGACTTACATACTTATCCTCTCTTGTGTGGATGCATTGAAATCTAGGAGAAACACGACCATGGGTAAAAGTATCAATAAATGTATAAATTTTTTTCTCCAAATTGTGCCTGTTAAATTTTGTCTTTGAACTACATTTGAAATACTTCTTATTTTTAGAAAGAAGATACTTACATAAGAACCCAACTAAACCATATAGCATCCAAACGGTGAAGTCCCATTTGTCGCGCCCCCTGTGATACCATAAGGATCTCATTAATCCCTCCCCCATTCAATTGATCAAGTGCCCAAAGGTTCCAGCACTCATGAATCTCAGTGTACTCCTTCCCAGTGAGGCACATTCGCGAAGTGTAAGTGACTTACTGAAACAGGCTCCACCTCGTCCCTGCAGCTTTTCCAGAAGCCAATTATACCAACGTCTCTCCGCGTGCCTCCCTAAACTAATACAACCGGTCAGCAGACCCATACCCAACAAGATTTATCCTCTGCACAGAATATGGAGTTCCCTCGATCTTTCCAAATTTCACTTTGGATAGATAGTTTTGTCAAATCGCAAATTTCTAGCTGGATCTCCACCTTGCTCTTCCTTCTAAGAAGAAAACATCTTGTATATTGAACTAGCAGGTAGCGCGCGGCATGCCCAACCTCTTTCAAGATGGCGAGATTGAAAGGAGAGTGCCCCTCCTCGCAAGCTCGATCCCCATCTTATTGCCTGTTATAGCTAGATGTCCCGGCACCCAACCAATTGAAGAGTGAACTGGTTTTCCATCGCGTTAAGTGATCTGCAGCACCTCACTATAGTTACCAAATATATATGGATGAATTTAGAGAATTTAGAGGCGCCTGACTGCCTGAGAATATATAAATATTGTGGTTTGGTAGGCGCAATGACTTTTGTACTCCGAGGGATATCTAGTTTGTACCCTTCGTCGAAGGTTGTTGTTGGCACGCCTGTTACGTCTGGCAGCTTAGGCGCTTTCAGAATCGAGGTATCACCAAAGTGATTCCCGTTTCCTTGGTCCACTTTAATACCCCCCTTAGTTTTATCCCCATAACTAACTAGTTGCTTCATTTCAACCCTTCGCAAGTAGAAAAGCGCCCACTGTGCGCCTTGACAAAACAAAAAAAAACACCAACCGCTGTGACCCAAACAACTCCGCAACACATTGCAGCCAAAAGGTCTGTTGCCGTTACTGCAATGCAGCTACTCTGCTCTGCTCCGCTCCTCCAGTTTCGACAGCTGTTCGCTCTTGTTGACTCTTTGCATGCGCACAGCAACAAAGCGACTTTAGTAGCCCAACGCTCAGTGCCATACGGCAATGAGCCGGGTAAATTAGTACTTGGTTGGCTTTCATTTGAGTTGCTATTTTGGCGGCTGAACGTGTGCGCAAGCAAAGTGATAGGTAGAAGAAGTAAATTTGTATGTGAACGCGTTTATTATTGTTGTCGAATTCGCAACGGTAGTGAAGCGAAAATTTGGTAGTTTTGTTGTTGCTGCATAATTTTATCTACATATATCTTCCAAGTATATAAAGATTGTGAATTGTGTTAGAAACGAAAGGGCGAACGACTTCTACAGGCTAACGGCGAAGTCAAGCACCTTTTTTTTTCGCGGTGGAGCTGCATAAAACTCTTTATCCAATACCTACAAATTTTCCGCTGCTGTGCAGGCAACATAAAAATTACCTTATTTGTAATAAATAAGGAAGTGAATTTTTGCAATAGCTAAACCAATAGCAACAAAAACAAAGTGGATCTTGTTCTCAGCTGTGGCGACTTTTATGGCACAAACACAAAGCCTCGTGGAACCCAGGCTAACTGACTGACTGATTGCCAGCTCGCTTGGTTGCTTGCCGTGCTGTTTGTTGGCTTGTCAGCCTGCCTGGCCTCGTTGCGGTTGGAGTTTTGTCCATTTTTGGGTGGGGGCGCCGCATCTGACGTTTGACGTGCAGCAGCAGCAGCCAATGCCCCAGCTGCAGCGCAAAAAAAAAGTACCAATTGTGTTTTAGAGTAGCAAAAAGCCAGCAGGAGCTGTGTAAACGCACTGCTCACTGTGCTTATGTTTGTATGTACGCCTAGATTCGGCACACATTTTGTTCACAGTGCATTTTGATGTTTCTATTTTGGAGTGATTTACGGCAGTTCGCGCGGCGGAAGTGAAGTATTCCCCTAGC